TATCCAACCAAGAGGAAGCGTTCACAAGCTCTCGCGAGATCTGTCGTCAGAGCGCTCCAGTTGTCGCGAGCTTTGACAAAACGATGAGTGCTTATTTGAGTAAGAACGACATCTAGTGGTGAACTGAAGAACCGTCACATTCACAAGGAAAGTTACCGCCAAATTTCTGAAATATTTTAGCATCTCATGTCACATTTGCTGTAATATAATACGTAATTTTCTGCAGTCTGAGCTTCGTCAGTAAACCCTGGTAAGCTGTGCAGTTGTCAAATAACCAAATAGCTTGACAACAGAGCTGGGTAGAAATTGTAGTCCGTTACTGATTCCAAATTACATGACAAAAATTGTAGTTAGTAACGTAATCCATTACACATGTCAGGTAATATAATCAGACTACTTTTAGATTACTTTTGACCAAACTTGTTTATCACATTGATTTAAATAGGATAATGTTGTACCATAATGATAAAAAATACAGAGTAATATTAAATTAACAACATGAAGTACATTAAACATTACATTACATCAATGTTTTTCCAAACTGGGGTTCATGAAGGAACTGCAGAGGGTTTGTGAGTTTAATGAAAAGCTAATAATTAATTAATTCATAATAATGTAAAATTAAAATAAATCATGTCAAAATAACAACAATCAAAATATTACACTTACTAAAAAATGAAATATTTTCTTTGTTTACCTGCATGTCATGTGACCATTAACCAACCGCGAACATGCATACGTGATACTTAAATATGAACGTATCTTAAAATCTGTAGGGTAGCCTACTTAAACTAAATATATTTTGTGAAAGAGGTTCAGATGACAAATAAGTTTGGGAATACCTGCATTACATGTAAATAAGAAATAACATGAATTTGTGTAGTTTAATGTGTTTGAAAGACAAAAGCCTTCCAAAGACACAGTAATAAATAACCTATTGAGTGATAATTCAAATAAAAATTAATGTGTCATCAGTATTTGATACAATGTTGAAACACTTCTTAAACCTGAAATTATTTTTGTAAATCCAGTGGTCAAATGATGTTTAGCCACCTGACTAGTGACTGCTCTTTGTGTGAATGTCCAGAAAACTGGAAGACTTTCTGAGTGTATATAAGCGGTAGGCTATTTTAGAAAAGAACATTTCAAAGATGAAATTGTATGAATAATATTTAATAATGTAATCAGTAAAAAAGTAACTATAGTCTGATTAGGGGTCCTATTTTAAAATGTAATTTAATCTAATTACAAGTACTTAATTTTCAGAATCTGATTACGTAATCCAGATTACATGTAATCAGTTACTACCCAGCTATGCTTGACAACATACCATACTACAGTAAAATATATTCATATTAGAAAAGGTAGTAATAATCCTTTACCATCTTTAACAAAAAGTGGCAAAACGTTTTTGTTTTTGTACACAATGCAAATACCTCAATACATTAATATGGTATCAAAGTCACCAAATCATCAATACTTCTTTATGTACTTGTAACCAGTTTTATTGTAGTAAAATTAACTGTAGTAATTATGGTATTCTGGAAAAAAAAATCTTTATTATACATTTCTACGGTATACTTAAATATATTCTTTAAGTAATCAATGGAGTTAAATCCAAGATTTAAAAATCACTGGAAAGGCATTTATTTTAAATCAGTTTAATTAATTGCACACATAATTGACAGGGGTTAGAGCTTTTACAGTTCGATTTCAGTTCAGACAGGGACAACTGATTCGCTCATATTGTCAAATCCCACGTTGAGGACATCGTAGAAGGTCACCGATTTACATTTTCCTCAGGAAGGGTTGAGAGTAGCCAATAACAATGTTTTTTTTTTTTTGCCTGCCCACTGGAGCAACTGGAGGCAATTCAAAACTTGATAAAATATTATTAGTTTTTATTTGCTTTTAATATGAACATATAAAAGACAAACAAAACATTTACATCAAGAACTGCAAGCCACTGCCCATGCTGTCTTAAGCACTGTAATAAGAGGGGATGCCTCCATTCCCAAAAAAAACACTTCAACCTCACCTGGCTACACAGAGGCCGTCTTCACCTCTGAGCTGGAAATATATTGTGATCAATCACCATCCATTTATCTTTTCATTGTAAGCAAATGTACATTTTATCCACATCTAATAGATCGTTCTAGGCATCTAAAGATGGAAGTCTATTTAAGAAGTTCCTTACCTAAGTGTGGTCAAATTTAGGGGAACATACTACATTAAGGGCTTATTATGTGAAACTGTCAACTGCAGCACTGATTACTCTTAAAAAATATAAAGGGGGAATGAAATTGGGCTATCATGAAGAGATGGAAGACCATGCCGACTCAAAGACGAACCTACATTTACAAGTAATTTAACCCTTCATGGCAATATTCTTATGCTGAGAAATTCCCAAACACAGATAGGATACAGTACTGAGTATTCAAGTCAGAATTCAGGATTAGTTGAAAAAAGGGAGGGGGCCAAAAAAAAAAAAAAACCTTTAAAATTACCACTAGTGAGTACAGTGATTTTCTCTGAAGCCTTGGAGGACAACAAAATATGCTATACACAGCAATATTCGTATGCCTTGCAAGTACATCTTAATTTCCAGATCAGAAACCTAGACTGCCTTATGTGACCTGATGATGAGGGTAATATTGTACACGATGCTGTAACCTGGTTCGAGTGTCAAGTTTGACTGAGAAGAAAATGTAAAGACAAGTAGAACACGTCATCCCTGAGTCCTCCTCAACAGATCAGCCATATGGATGTGCCATTTGTGTTTGGTCGTTTAGCAGGAGTTTAATTCTTCTGAGGTTTAGGTCAAGTCTGCATAGTCCTGACTAAGCCCCCTTATGTTCGGACTGTTGCAAATGGCTGAATGTGCATGTACAGCAGCAGGCCGTGAGAGGACACAGCGCTATCTACCACCACAAAGCAACATGCTGGAAATTCATGAAATTGCTGCGAAATGCCTCATGAAATGCACAAAAATACCAAACGTAATTCAAATAAAAGAGGCAAAAACTGTTAAGTCAATAAATACTCATTCTGACAACAAATTAAGGAACTTATTTAAGTTTTGCACCTGTCGCTAAGTCCACAAAACATTACGCAAATGTCAACACCTCCTCAACCGGCTGAAATGAACACAAACAACCTCCATACAATGGGCTCAAACAAATCAGCCATTCGTCCAAAATGAAAAAAAAGTGAAAATTGTAAAAAGTGAAGTCAACTGAGAAAAAAACCACAAAAAAAAACAGGTTTTGAGTTCAGGCAAATAAATTTAAATTTTGCCAATAACGTCAGCTCCCCTGCTAGATAAACCTAATAATTTACTACAGACATGTCTAAATGAAAACTAAAAACAACTCTGTCCTCTCCTCAACCTGATTTAACGTTCTGCCTTTAAGTAGTTATGACTTCAGCAGCCTTGTACAGACCAAAACGACTGAAATAAAGCAATAAATGACATGGAGACCTGCAATTTTCTATTAAATGATCAGAAATAATACATTATCATTATTGCATTAGCTATCGTACAATATTTACCCGGTGACAAGCATCTCAAAACGACCATTGGTGTCAAAACGCCATTCTTTCTGAACTGAGTGTCCATTTGCGCACTACATTCAGTCAGTACACACTAGTTGACCAACAGATTTGACTGGAAAACTCGTTGCTCGAGTCAGAATCTTTTTTAATATGATGTCTAAATGGGCAAGCACAAAATAATGAGCAATGCATGATGCCTCTCCAGTGTTGCTGCACATAAAAAACAAAAGGGATTGAAAAAAGGAAAAAAAAATCATGTAAGGGATTTAACACCCTTTCAATAACCCTCTGGTCTGGTCAAGTTCGCTGTTAGACTGAGGTAGCTTGTCAACATCTGTGGACAAATTAAA